AAAACTTCATAAAAAATCGTGCAATATTTGTATTTAACATTTTTTTTGTAACTCTTAAAACAAAAAAGTTAAAGGGGGGGTCAAAATATAGTGAATCACCCTGTACAGTTTCAAATTCTTTATTTTATTCTGTGCAAATTCATGGAGGATAACACTGAAGATAATTAAATTTTGTTTCACTTGTTAAGTAGGTGTTTTATACAACCCTAAAAACCTTGCTATTGAAAAAAATAAAACTTGTTTATTTGGCATGGCTGGATTCGGTTTTCTATAAACTTTTCAGCGAGCCCCCTAATGCCTTATGTTTCCATTTGAAAAAAAATGTAGGGGTAGTTGGTGGTTAGGGAGTTGAAGGAAAATTGTTATATAACCGAAATATGGGAAAAAATCAAAATCAGTTAACGTGTTTTGGCGTTTAAAAAAAAATTTACTCATTCAAAAGATATGAATTTTATTCCGTACTTCTCGCCATCCCTGTATTTATCAAGCTGCAATTAGTTTAAGAAAACGTTATGTCCAAGTATGTAAAAATATACAGGGTGCCCTAATTCCAAAAAAAAAAACAAATATTTAATAGATTTCAACAAAATGCAACTTCAAAATTGTTTTTACAAGTACTATTTACAACTAAAGGACCACTTTTTATATTAAACTGTACCAAAACGAGTATGTATTATCTACATAAATAAATCGAGTACCAATCAGATATTAATGCATTTAAGAACTTAGATGTGCAGAGAACGAATAATTTTCTTATCATTGCCAATGTACTCAACTAATTCATAATGTAAATAAATTGTACACGTTCATTTTCGTGCACACATCATTAAAAAGTAACAGTTGACACCAAGTAGTATTACTGAATTAAATAAGAATAGTAGTAGATACTCGAACAATGGAGTGTTATTAAAAACATGTTTTTTTTGCAACTTCTTGGCAACTTTTACTAAGGTAAATTTTACCAATCGACATTTTTATCAAAAAGTACCCCCTATTAAAAAAAATATATTTTTTTGTGGAATGAGATATGTACGTACTATGGGTATGGCTTTTCTCCTACAAAACCCGTTAATATTCATGACAACAAGGAGAGTCGTCTTTCTCTGTGCATCAATAGAGCGGAACATATATGATCTTTTATTTTCCTATTATTGTGGTAAAATGCCGGACGGGCAACTTTCTTCATTAATATTCTTCATTGTATTCTAATCGGAAGAAAGTGTAGGGGTAATTAACATTTTACTTACTTTGACAGTTTAATTCTGTCACGACATATTCGTGTTTAACGAACAAAATGTCTGTTTGTAGAAAAAAAATCTAGAGATAATAGCTCGTAAAACCAATGGGCAATACTTTTAAACCAGTTTAACAAAGGCAGTGTTAATAAAAGTCGTTGGATACATTAAATAAGAAATAACACCATGGAAATAAATCAATTCAATGATACAAATTAAAAGTTATATGTGTTAATGTTAAACAAAAAATGTTATACCAGCTGTACGTAATAAAATTTTCATATTAAATAACAAAATTGTAGGACACTAAACGTTGAAGGCACCACGGATGTAAAGAATAAAAATCCGAGTAGTACGTTGTCGACGTCGGCGCATTATTATTCATATGACATCCTAAGTACCTTATTTACTATATTTTTATCAGCTTATCTAACTGCTTTTCAGAGTCCTATCATTTCGTATGGAGAAACAAGTTTAGATGGTACCATCTAAACATATTCGTTAAAGATATTCTGGACGCAAAAATATGATAATGTGTTGATTTCTTTTGAAATAATTCGGTAATTTTAGTAATGATTTCGGTTTAAGGCGCTTTTTATTGTCAATGTTAATAATTTTAGGCTAATTGTAAGTATTCATTAAACCTCATTCGATTTTAAAACTGAATTAATTTTCAAGAAATTATTTTCATTATGTGAAATTTTTTTATACCAACGAACGGGACATTTTGCCCACTTTTTAAAGCTACAATTTGTTTTTCCTTATTTATTGGCTTTTGGAAACAACAAATTATGGATTAATTACACTAACAAACCAAAAAGCAAATAAATAGCCAATTAAAAGCTAACTTGAAGGAAAAAAATAACCTGAAATGACTCATTCCTCGTAATCAAACAAAAAGTATGTATATTTATGATATGACCATGATATTTTCCTTGAACACGATAAAAGTTGTTACGCATGCATATTTGATAATAATTTTAAACTAGGTACATCTTTAAAATGTTTGTGAAATTTCATAAAGATAAGAATACGATAAAACAAGAAATTACTAGATACATTTTTAAAAGATTTGTAAATTTCTTAAAACATACTGACCAAATTTAATCTTGTCGCTGTATAAAATGAAGGGCCTTAAAATATGGCCCAATAAGTTTAGGAAATCGAATGTTTTTCCAATCACTGACTACTCAAATCCGCTTTCTTGAGGAGTTTATGTTACGGTCAAAACATGAACTGATCCGAGAATCTGACATTAGATTTGAATTCAGCGGTTCAAAGTACTATTAGCTCTTTTGGGCATCATCGGTTCAAAGTACTATTAGCTCTTTTGGACATCATTTTTTTTGTCTGCCATTTTGCATGTGGCTTTTTAAATGTATACAGGGCTGGAAAATCCACATGATCCATCTGCCTTTACATGAAAGCGACAAAGTAAAGTAAAGAAGTGAAGACTTTTCATAATCTGAATAGTCACCGCCCGCTTCGGGTTTGAAGTGGGAGTGACTATTCAGATTATGAAAGGTCTTCAATGTAACCATCCTTGTCTATCGCACGGATTTCTATGCCTTACAGGTACTTTATCGCTCTCACGTAACGGTCGATGTACCATGGGGACTTTCCAAACCTGTATACTGTGGCGGTGCGCCAGGTGACGCAAGTGACGCACCGCTTCACGTAAAGTTTCCGTTTGGTTGTGCAATTTAAAACTATTTTTAATTTTATATAAATTTTATAATTTAGGTATAATTCTATATTGAAAATGTATTGTGTTTGTTTGTTTAATATGCAGAAATAAACAAAATAGTTGCGCGGTAAACGCCTTCTAAAAAAACATTGCCTTCGTTGAGCGCAAACATCAACCTCGTACCATACAACGTATAGCATAAGCAAGTGACGCGGATCGAAATCAGTCTGTATTCCGCTTCCCTTCGTAGCGTTCTTTACGGCGGTTGTCATGGCAACGAGGCGGCTAACACGGAAGTAAACTACGGCATGGAGAAACGAGTGACGCGGGAATTAAAGCAGCCTTGTCGTCGCCTGACGCCTATCGCCTGCCTTTAAACAGTTTGTACGATATGCGTCGCCCAGTGCGCGATTATAACGGTTCTTTGTTAATATTCGTTTTGTATAATAATTGTAGAAATGTTTCCTATGTATGATCCAGTATGTATTTTATTGGAAACACCATTTTTCAAATGGAAAATTGAGGAGAAAAAGGATTTTTTAAATTGCTAGAGACATGTACCTTATTCTCTCGATATGGAAAAAAGTGGAAGTCAAAAGACAATGTGTACGTTCGAAAGTTTCGGAACGAATGGTCTTCGGAGTATAAGTGATTGTGTGGAAGTGTTAATTTAAAAAAAGTTTTCTATATGCCATGTCTAATTATTGTGGGTGTAAAGTCGGGAGTCTGGCGCTTTTTTTCTTTTTAGTTAATCAATGAATATGTTTAACCTATTCTCAATGTCACGAGCCGCCACTGCTCCAAATGCGGAACAACAACAGACACCCTTCGCTTCGTCACCGTTTATCGGCACTATCTCCCTTCACATGTATTGTAGGTTGCCTACAATCCATATATTTGTAATACATGATTACAGTGGCAGCGTACACAAGTATTACAGTACATTAAAAAAAAAAACTAATTATAACTCGACTCGACGATTTGGTTAAAAAAAAAGGTATTTAGAAGAACATGTACTATTAACCCTAAAATAGTGACACCTTTTAAAGCTACACCTTGTATACGAAGTCTGTTCAGAAAATAACAGAACTTTATTTTTTAAACTTTATTATTAATTTTATACATTATTGTTCCCTCTCCTGTGCACACACTTTTCCCAGCGGTGTTTCCATTTCGCAAAGCAGCTGGACAGCTTCATTTGAAATGGCCATTAAAGTCTGTGACGAATTTGCCTTGATGTCATCGATAGTCTGAAATCGGCGTCCTTTCAGCACTAATTTTAATCTTGGTAATAAGAAAAATTCGCTTGGAGTCAAATCTGGCGAGTAAAGAAGGTTAGGGACGACAGTAATCTGTCAGACAGCTTAGTGTGCGGATGCATTGTCGTGATCATGAGCTCTCTCACCACAACTCTGGTCTCTTTTTTGCGAATTTTTTCAAGTAAGTCGAGAAAAACAGTGAGCATCACTTTGACATTGGATCGAGACTGACATGTTTTCTTAGGGCATGGAGATCCTTTGCCAATCCATTGTCATAATTGAACTTTTGTCTCAATGTCGTAGTCGTAAACCCAGTTATGATCTCCATTAACGCGTAATTCGGTTAAAAAGTTCGGTTATTTTCTAAACAGACTCCTGCCTAAAAATAAAAAAAAAATGTGAACATAGTTTCTAAAATATTTCTAACGGTAGGTACTGCGGCTGTTTAAATATTTTCCTTAAAGATGTAGAATATTTCATATCTTAAAAACCGTTGTAGTTACCTTGGGAAACATTTTAGGGAACAAGATCTCAAGGTCTTAGCTTAAAATTATATGAAAAATATTGTTTTGTGGCATAACACTGAGGGAAATGTATCTCAGTAGATGTAAATTTTAGTTGTAGATAAGTGGGTCTAAATTTACTTTTAAGCCATGGAACCTTATGTTTTCCAAGTATTTTATAGTACCCTCCATAAGAAAATAAAACCACTTAAGTTAAAAAACTGGGTTTGTCTAGCATTTTGCTGGAGCTTAAACATAAACTTCATTTTGAATATGTATTTTTACACTTACCGAATAAAATTTAGGCAATCCTTACCTGAATTTAAATTTCCTAACATAGATATCCATTCTGCCGGCGTTAGAAGTTCCTTCAATTGGGCTGGATTTAACTGAAAAAAAAAAGTTCCATAAATATACATATGTAAACGTATACAGTGTGGTCTATTAAAACCTATTATTAACTCTATTATTGATTATTCGATTTGAACAATTTTGGTATTGAAATACATACAGGGCACAAAGAAGTGTGTTTTAGTTCATAACGACACATTTTAATTTCATTAAGGCTATGCGAATATAATATTCCCCAAAAACAAAGATATTTATGCAGTAACTGCAGGACATTTACAATAATTTTGTGTCAATAGATTGATTAGGGATTTGCGACTCGTTCAAAATACTCATGTAGGTACTATTGTGTCACTATAGGAAAAGTAATATATTTATTTAAAATTGGTCTTCTTACACTTGAATGATATACATGATACCTACAACTTTATTATAACGACGGTGTTTACAAAACATGATTTATGTGCTATTACACTATAAAATGACAAACTTCTCTTAAATTGAAATTCGGGCAAGAGTACATTTTTTTAGCAAATTATTTGCGGAATTCCTTGTTAGTATTTAATAAGCAACTTGCATGAAAATATAATACCTTTTAAAACCGAAAACAGATTTACAAATCTATGTAGTCAGTTATACACTGCAGTCTATAACTGACAACAACCAACAATGGTAAAAAAATTAATTTCTTTAATGCAACAAATTAATTAGGTATTTAAATTTTGTTACGCCTGTTGCAGGAATGTTCTTAAGACTAGCGTTTTACAGACAAGAAATCGCACTTTTAATAAGATAGTGATAGAACAAGTAGATCCATCCAGGAAGTGACGAAGCGTAACTCTAGAGTATTAAAAGATCACGGAGAACATGTAAACATCAGAAAATATACCTTTCCTGTTTTGTCCAGCAAATTTGCAAAGATACTCAATAATGTGTTAATAGTTTCCTAAAAGCATTATGATTATGTTGGTACCGCCCGATTTTTTGTATGTTCAACTGGCATGCAAAACACAGGAAACGTAAGATAAATATACGATGTAAAAATATGTTTTTTTTTTCCTTATTTTGAATGTATTGTCAGGTGTCTTATCCCTAAAGGTAACTGGTGCAGTGAAGAGATATTGTCTAGATTTTCTAAAATGCTGGACAAAATCTTGCGCATATAGACGGCCCCCTTAAGCACTATTGTACTGAATTCGTACAATTCGGTTTTAAAAACTACGATAGTACCTCTTTGCAATTTATGGTACAATTTAAAATTTTCCCACGAAGTACTTGACTTCAGTGATTCTCACATCACAAGTTATTAAATGTCCGTCTCTATTTATTCCCTATTCTTGTTCTTTGTTCAATTAACTTTTCCTATTCCTTTTTCTTATTGAGTTATTTACATAGTAGAGCTGTCTTTGAAGTTATTAATCATAGAAGAAAAATAGATCTTATGTCATTGTAAAATAAGAACAAGTGTACAGTCACAGTAAATGGACGTTACCATGGCCTCGAGGAAAATAAAATTTCAAAAAGCCGTCTTTACAGTTACTAATTTAGAATTGCTTACTGCTTTTGCATTAAATACATTTTGCTTTTACTTTTTATCAAAATTAATCTCTATTTTGTGTTTCTTCTCTGAGCTTTTTTTTCAGTTTTAATGTACGTTTTCAATAGTGCATTGCCATAATGCAAAAGTATAAATTTAAAGTGTTAAGTATTCACATTTAAATTTTAGAAAAATTTATACAACATGATGTGCATTGATCAAATTGACACATTTCAGCAACACTTAATCCTCGCATAGTAAAATCGAATTAATTATGTACAATATCAATACAATCAATACATACAATACAATACATCAATATAGTCATTCACGATTATCATATACATAGAAACATAGATAAAACCAGATCTAATCCAAAGCTCTATTTTCCCATACAAATGTAGACGAACTGCGTAACATATGCGGGCATTATAAAATTTTTGTACATCCTTTAACTATTGAAAAGTGAAATTCGAAATTAGTTCCACCGCACATCCGTGACCGATGGTCAAGATGACCGGAAATACAATGACCTTACAGCAAATCACGAGAACAATATTAAATATGTTTATTATTTGCAGGGCCAAACAGAGTCAAATACCTTGTCAATTATTGGGTTAAATGGCCTATTGTAGGAAATTGAAAAAAATATACCGCGAAATCGAGTACACTAACCTATTAGAGGATTTGAATGATTAAGTTTTTTACAGATATCTATAATTAAAAATGTGGCCAAACTATTATCTCATTAACATCTAATTTTAGTACCAAACCGGAATATATTTGACATTAGTTTGCTCTAAGAATTAACGAATATGAAGTCTAGAATGTTCAACTTGAAATCAAGAAATTTATTAATCGATTTCTGGTTTATAATTACGAGAATCATAAGTATGTCTAAGCCTAACAACATACAAGATGGAGTATTTTTTGGAAGAAAACATTACCTAGTACCGTTTGCGATCTTTTTAGAATTGCTAATGTCTTACTAACACTTCTTGATATTAAAAAAAAACGTGTACGTCTATTCTTCCATATTTTTTAATCAAATTCAACACTATGTATAAAAAATCATCTCAAGCTTTTAAGAACAAACAGGAAATTTTATAATGATTCAACATTTTCTCATAAATTTACAGAGAACAATTTAACTTGCTTTGGGGCAGATATAAGTAGGCACGGATTAATCACATTCGAATATATACTGAATGTTTCTTTCTTCACACATACATTATTATAAAGTTATTTCGAAAAATTGATTCATAACTTTCTCAAAAAATACCTAGTTGATTTGAAAATAGTAGTAATTTTGGAGTAAATTCTAAGAACCTGAACTTAAAAGGTAATAATTATACAGTGCGTCCCCGGACGGGGTACCGCACACTTGTAAACTTTGTTATTATTGATTTTTCGAAATATTGATAAAAAGTTTTGCTTATCTTAGAAAGCCGTGGGCAGTACTTAGTCAAATATGTAATAAAACATACTGGGCGTCCAAAACATTTCGAAATGTGAAATTTTCCCTAAGCAAAGTGCCTATAATTTTGTTTTCGTTAAAAGCTGTATTTAACAAAGTTGTTCGATAACTCAAAGAAATGCTTAAATACAGGGTTTAGTCAGAAAATAACAATAACCACATCCTGCAAATAAAAAAACGCCGCAATTTTTAACTATCTTACATACCATATAATTACCATGGATATTTCCTTACCAATGCCAAAGTTAACATATTAATTTTTTTTAACTGCCCACCGAATAATTTTTATTAATTGGAGCAACGAATTAATCTTGTGAAATGTTATGGAACCGGTAATGTTTAATATCGATAAGCAATACAAATTTTTTATGAAAAGTATTCAAGTGTAATTGTAACTCGTAGAGAAGTTCGCAAGCTAATTATAAAATTCGATACCCCTGGCGATGTAAACAATATTAAAAAGATAAAAAAAGAATACAATGATAACGATGCTGCTACTGTTGTAGTTATGGACTATGTACAAGACAATCCAAAGATGTCATTCAGGAAAAGCTTAGAAAACATAGATAGCAGATATCATATTCAAAGAATATGATACATACAACAAAATCTATCTATTCAAACCAGTGTTTAATCATAAATTGCTTGCGGAGATGATGGTCGTCGTTTCCACTTTTGGTTAACAATGGGTAAGAAACTGATTGAAAACAGATTCTTTCATCACAATATTTTATTTAGGTACATTTATATTTGTAATTTGCCATTTTTACCACCCATTTTGAGGTGTCCCATGTCATTGCAATGTCTTTTTGGAAGAGAATCTTAAATCAATGCACATTTCACACTTCTAGTGAGAAATTGGCTTGACGTTTATTTCCCGAACAAGTGGATCGGACGATATGGCTTGCACGGGCACCCAACTTGTCGCCATTGGAATATTTCATATGCAAAAAGTGTATTCAAACGATTTTGACGATAACATTGATTTACTTAAGTAAAAATTCAGAAAGTTGATGCCACCATAAATAAACGAAGCAACAATCTCGTCTGTGTACAAGGAATTTAGAAAAAGTTAAAATCTTGTGTCAGTTAATATGACTTACCATAAAGTTTTTTAAAATTTAACAATAGTAAAAAAAAATTAAATTAAATTCTGCTGTGAATTAATATTACTATTTTTCAATTCGGTCAATGAATAAAAAAGTTCTGAACAATTTAATTTAATTAACTTTAAATCATAGTCAAAGAAGACCAGTAATAAACCTAAATCTTGTACCAAATTTGGTTCTTCTGCGATAACGTGTTGCAGAGATATTAATTTTTTTGGAAATTTAGGGCCCACTTTGGGGGCTAATAACTCCTCAGGGGTGCAACTTCGTATATAGGTAAGTTTGGTTAAATTACAGTAATTTGGACACCCTGTTTATCACCCAAGAAACAGAATCCATATAATATTTGTTGAGATAGAATCCCAGGAAGACCCCGGCGTCACTTTTTTGGAATTAGCCGCATTCAACACCTGAGATAGAAAGAAATTGGCGGCGCGGCGTTCACTATAGCAGCTTCCAGTACATACTGTGTTTGCAGTTACGGCATGTTTCTTCGTAAGTATATCGTCCTGTGCATNCCCTCCTTCCTTTTTGATCCGTCTGTGAAGATGCTAATTACATCTCCACGGGCGGTCTCCTCCTGTCTCTTAATGAGTACGGTGTAGGGTTTGTCAAATGCAAACCATTTATTTTGATAGTAGATATGTTTTATTACGACTAACACCAGATTTTAATGGATGCTGTATGTTTTCATATGGATTGAGTATTCAGGATTACGCTGAAAGCCCTAGCACTTTACTTTTAGCAAATTTGTCCCAAAAGGACTCTTTTATGTTTATTTGAATGCATCCAAAACTTTCTTTAGAATTAATTTTCATAAAAATAAGGGGTGAACATTTTATTAAGGTCATTTCTATGCAAAACGTATTCTTTTTAGCTGTAGATTCACCGGTACCATCTTATACACACTTTATGACT